CGTGCTTCCCTTACTTTTTTTTTTGCAAAAGCAAAATACGGTCGTGTAGTAAAACTGCCACTAAAAAAGTTCTCCAAATAACCTTAAAAAATAAAGTTGTACAGACATGAATCTGTAAATTACCATTTATAATTTCTTCCCTTCTCCAGCGACTGCTGCTGTTTTGCCCTTCTCCAGCGACTGCTGCTGTTTTTCTCTGCCTTTTTTTTTATAGTTTTGGGCTCAAATAAATCAAGTCTCTCCCTGTTTTTCGCACAATAAAAAAATTAATTTCCTCATTCTCAAAACCTTCTTCAACAATTCTAGAAGCGATGAGAGTTTCTTTTATCTAAATCTGGACGTGCTGTTAATCGTTTAGTTGACTAAACTGTCACATCCAATCTCACTCCAGGAAAAGCTGTTGTCTGGAACTTCACTTTTCGTTCTATTAATGAGCTGTACCACATAAATTTCGTCTTCCACTCTAGTTTTTTATTCTTATTTTATTGATTTTATAAGTATACGCCATAAAAATTCTGCCAGAAGCTTTTTAAAAAAAGGATGTGTACTTCGGTTGCAAGCAAAGCATCCATGACCCACTATACAACGAAAATGATGTGAAATCACAATGGTGATGGGAGAATTCTTTAGTGTTCTTTTCAAGTACAAAACTTCAAATTGAAGGCGGAACTAAGGGAAGGCGGAGGAGTGACTTACTTCAATAGAAATATTTTCAGTGTTTAGTTTTCGGGTAAGTAACGAAAGGTTAGAAGCTGAAGAGTGGAAGCAAATAGGACGAGATGTCGTCACAAATGCACAACATGCTAATTTGCACTGCATTTTTATTGAGAAATGGATTTCACCAAGCACTAGAAAATTCATCCGTTTGAAACTTGTAAATTAGGCATTTGGTGGAATAAAAATAAAGCTTTATCACTCAGCTTGTTTGCTTCTATTGATGTAAGAAAACTCCCGTTTTTGAAGAGTATTCTCGAAATTCTGCTTTTGTTTTTTCTATGACTGCTTCTTCTATTGTCTTTTATTGCTGTCTGTTTTTGTTTCTTTTATTTTCCTCCCTAAATCTCGCTAATTCAGACTCAACTAAGGAACTTCAATGGTTAGATATTCTGGTTTTTGAAGACCAGAAAATTAGGGATGATCTAAAAGTCGTTGTAAAGAGTGGCAGATGGATAATCATGATTAGAGAGAGGAGCAGAGGGAAATGCGAAAGCTTTGACGAATTACTGAAACCATGACTGAAGGCTCTTCATTTTTGAGCTAATTAAGGAAGAGTTTGTTCCAGCCTGGAAAAACTCGTCCAAAACCAAGCTGGACAAATATTTCTTAGTGCCGAATATCGCCTAAGAAGTTGCACAAGCTCAAGATTTTCAAAATTCAATGAAAAAAATATATAACTAGGCGGCATCTTCACGCACTGGGACGGAATGAATGTTAACACTTAAGAGTAGCATGATCCTCCAATTCTTGCCAATAGTTAAACTTGCGTCAGCTAAAGAAGTTTTTTTGTTCATCTAATAGGCTCAGTGAATCAAAAGACCAAATCACTTTTATCGTCCCCTCAGCTATGAAGACCAGAGATGAAATAATGGGATGAATGGGGAGAAGATTAGGTGGCGTTGACGGAGGGTTATTAAAAAACAAACTTTACAGGAGAAGATAAAAAGAAAAGAAGAACTGGTTTTTTATTTAGTTATCACTAGTTTTCCATATGCATCTCAGTTCCTTGATTTCTTCTATTTACGTTTGCTATTATGATTCGGCTGATATGCATTTTATTTGCTTCTTTATTTTTTATTTTTTTTAAAGAAATGGGTGTTACAGCTGTTAGGAAGTTTGACTGCAGCTGAAATTGGTTTATAACTAAAACAATTATTTCAGATGTCCGTTAAATTTGTTAACTAAAAGCGTTAGAAGCGAGTAAAAAGGTGGAAGAGATTGACACTGTTTCACTCTCATTCGATCTACAAATCTTCACCACTGTTTGGTGTGATAGAAACCCACTGTAACCTAGCAACAATTTCTGATTAATTTCCTAAAACTCTGTGTTCTCGCGCGTTCTTTCACGTTCACTGTCTTAACTCCGTGTAGTCATCGAAGTCACTTTTTAACACCGAAAAAATACGGATCCTTATCAGTCGTTCATTAGCACGCAGTACTGCAGGACGGTAATAGATGTCTTACTCAAATAAAGTTTACCAGTCAAAGTGATTAGATTGGCAATGACTGACAATTGCTAGATGATCATAGAGTTGCAGTAACTGCGATATCATTGGGAAAGACTGCAGTTCATAAAAGCATATTTCTTCCACTATATTATACCAAATTTTTATTACCAACATCGCCAATTTCGTCTTCGTCATTACGGTCGTTAGTGCTTTGCAAATCTTGAAATTTCACAGAAAGCAAATTTTGAGAGGAAAAAAAGATCAGTTGTTGTCTAAAAATAATTCTTTATTTGCTTAGCTTCTTTTTATGGTATGTTAAACTTAAAAATTTATTGTAAAGTATTTGTCTGTTGCCTCCAATAACTACCTTTATCACTTCATCATGTATTTAAATAGACAAGAATTTGCTGAGTTGTTCGTTATTCCCGTTGTGGACTTTGTTGAGCAACTGAAATTAATAGGTTATAAGAAAACAGAAGAAAAAAGAAACGGAAAAAAAGCAACCGACATTAACAGTATTTCTTGCGAGAAGTGTTGGACAGAAACAGGTTGCTAATGGTCCACAGAATGGGATGAGAAGTAAATGTATAGATGACGGTTTAAATCAAAAGGAAGAAACAGTTGTCAGCTAGGCTCAAGAAGAAGTCTCTTTGAAAAGAGGATAGTAAATTGACGGTAAAGGTTTTTTTAATAATTACCGAGGTCCAACTTTATAGGTCCGTACCGACCGCGAAGCTCAGTGGTACATGTCGAAAATTGCTCGAGACGGTCACACGTTACGAGGCCGAGGATCGGTCAGTTTACGTCTAACATCACCGCAACTTGCTGACGATTACGTGAATTACGGCTGGTCAGCATTGGCACACATCAACACTGAAGATCTACTTTTTTACTACACCGTTGAAGAGTTGCTGGACGAACGAAAAGAACCGTCATTAATAGCACTTTGTCGTAAATACGATCCAACGTAAGTTTACCGTGCTTACTGAATATTGTACGCAAACATAATCCACTGAGGCAATGGAGACATCGTTAAATGTTGCTATCCATAGAAACGGAAAAAGAAGAAGCAACAACTTAAAAGCAAAGTCGAATTTATTAATTTGTTTCAGTAAACTACCTTTCCTTACCAGCATCAGCACTAAATGAACGTAAAAAATAATAGTAATTAGAGGACGCTGCGTTGAGAGCCAGTAAACCGAAAATTCTTCAAATGCTTGACAGTTAGGAACTGTTTTAATGGCTTAGAAATGTACATTATAATTAATTATTCATCTCAATCCATCACAATCTCGATAATCGACGATCCCAAATACCCAATATTATTCTCACTATTCAGAACAGATAAATACAAATAGCTTTTCTGCTGCGAAGTTGACCAAGGAAATAATTTCTTTTTTTTCTATTTTATTCGTTGCTTATGTTTTCTTCGCCAGTTGAAAGGAAAAAAGCAGAAAAAGAAAACAAACTGGTTGCCTAATTTTGCCTAACCTATCTTTGTTTCTCCTTTTCTCTTCTATGCCCTATTGCTCAAACTTCTTTGAGAAGCAAGGAACAAAGAGGTGAAACGCACTCAGATAAAGCCGCTACAAATAATTCAGTTGCTCAAGGTATAATATTACATTCTGACAAGAATACTTGACATTAAAGAAAAATTCAGAAGCTTTTAACATTTATTTTACCTTGCCTTTTCTTTTTTGTCATGCTTAAACGTATTCCAGTAGTTGACAACAGCGATTCTTTTGAACATAGTTGTGCAGTTCTAATTTCCCTTTATGTGATGAAGTTTCTTCTCCATTTTATCGATTCAAGAATTCGTCTAAAGAAAAACGAAAAAACTATTAAATAGAAAGTAACAGCAAAGCAAGGAAACAAACAAAAAAACAAAAAAACAAAAAAGGAAACCGATAAGGGACTGCTGAGTGGCAGTGATGATTTGATGGACACGGAAGAAAAATCAAAAACTGTTGCTAGTTTTTGAAACCGCCTAACATGCACTATAAACTCTGTGTGAAAAAATCAAGAAAAAAAACCCTGAAGCACCAAAAAAATGGTCAACAAAGTTCATTTTCCTAGCCCAAGTGACTTCTTTTAAATTTTCTGCACCTTACCGTAGTATAGCACGCAATTTTGCTTCCTCCATCGGTTTCATTAATTCTTCTTTGCGTAAATGGCAGTGCTGAAAAAATCTGTTTTGATTTTTACAAAAAACTGTTTTAGAAAAAAAATGATTAAAGAAAAAAAATGAAAAATTTGCAAACACTTTCTAATTAACCATTTCTGAAGGTGTGAAATCCAGATTTTTTGGATAAAATTTGATCGGCAGTTAATTAGAGAATAAGCTGCCTGAAGCCTTCTAATACAAAGCAGTTGTCCTCTTCACCTCCAGCCTGAAGTTTCAATTTCTTTGGAAATATAATTTATTGGATTCTTCAAACAAAAGAATATTTTTAAATAGAGAAGAAAGATTATAATTTCTACCGACATATTTATATAAAACATGATTTTATGTTCAAATATATATTTATACACTTATACACTCGCCGTTTCCTGTTTAGAGACAAATTCATACTGAGCGTTAGTATAATCGCCGATATGGGGAAATGTCCACAAACCCCGCCTCCAGAAGCAACAACAGTACAAATAACTCCAACTCCTACTGCTGCTGCCGCTGTCGCCGCTGCTGCCGCTGCTGTGGCCACGACCACCGCTGCCGTTAGTGCTGACACAACTAGTGGCAACAACAATTTTGACTATAATAGCAGCAGCAGACCATTAGATGCGTCAACAACTCTTCCATCCTGTCGTAAAACTCCCGTACCCTATCACCTTACACAGACATCATCGCCGTCACCATTACCACAGTCAGCGTCATTTCAATCTTCGCAAGACGAATTTCGTACGGCCGTACCTACAGAGGTCTAGTGCTACAGGTCTTTGATCTGGAGTGACAACAACGACTGTAGTAACTGCAACAGCGGCAATAGAACCAACAGCGACAGTAGCAGCAGGATCAACATCCGCAGCAACAACGAGAAGAATAACAACAAAATCATCGACAACAACAGCAGCAGAAAGAGTACGCAGCAATAGCGGCGGCACGGAATCCAATGAATAGCACTTTGATTCTGCTCTCAATACTCTCCTCCGAACTATACCGCCAAAGTCCAACTTTTTAAAGAAGAAAAATTTGAAAACAATTCTTTTTATTTTCTGGATAAATGTGAGAGTCCGTACATGCGTTTCCTCTCTAGTATTCAACCGATCTGTGTTACGCCAGTCTATTTGCAATTTGTGGAAAATTTTTCAATAATCAGAGACAAGTGTATTACCAGTCACGTGCAATTTTTCATACGTTCTGCTGCTCTTTTGCCCTTCTCTTCCTACACCCTACAATAATATAGCTGTTTGTGTTTTCGACCGCATAACTACTTCATCTTGAAATCAGCTACTGTATCATGCTAATTCAAATTCATTGTTAATTTTTACTTTTATTCCATCTTCACTTCTTTTATTTATACATGTCAAACTGTAATATACACCGAAAGATCAAGCTGTGTCATAGTCTTCGTCGTCTACGGCTTTGCCGAGTAAATTTACTGGTCTTTGCCGTTGGTACATGGCCTCCTGCACCCGATTCATTTCTGCTGCTTCTGCAACCATCTGATCCTGACGAGCCTAAATTGAAAAAGGTTCATCTTTTTATCATTTAAGTACTAACAGTATATACAGTCAATTACTTAAAATTACAATTTTAATGTTGTTACATGTTCTTCTCTGCTCTCTCTAAACCTATCTTAATTTAGCTGTCGCAATCAATGCATTCGGCAAAGATCCACTTCCTTCTGCAAACTGAGCTTAAAGATAATAACTTATATTGGAGTTTTTTTTTAAAGATCACTAGTGACTAGACCAATACCGACGGAGCAAAAATTTGTGTTACAGTCAAAAGAATCACAAAGAGAAGACACCAGTCTTTTATATGAAGAAACTTATAGACTTATTTTCTTACCCCGCCTTACTAAAAACAACGTTTTTTTTTGCAGGAGTTTCCTAAGGCGCTTGAAAATAGTTTTTCAGAACCAAATATAAAAAAGTTTTGAAAATAATTATTTAAACCACAACCTCTAAAGAAAATTATTAAAAAGAAAGGCATCAAGAGGAGAAGCATCCTACACGTCTATTCTACTAAACATTAGTCAGCAGAAACTTTTTATTGAATCGCCTCAAAAATATGTACATTAAAGAGCTAGCTTCCTGGGAATTAACAACAGCAAGCACCTGAAAAATTTGACTCCATTTTACTCAATTTAGCCACTAATTCTTAATGTTACATAGTAAGCCTTCCAGGCTTCAAAGTAACTTTAGATACCATCTTGAAGATAGCAACTCATTTAATAATTCTTGCCCGTATTGAAACAATAAGCGTTGATCAACACTATTTTAAAATCTTCAAAAAATTACCATTTGCGAGCAAAACACTCTTGTCAAATAAAAATTAAAACAGCTACTATTTTGGATGCAAATGCATTGCTTCCTCTAGTAATACAAATACTTATACAGCTGCCTCCACAATAAGAAATTCCTGAGGCAAATTGTCATTTACCTACCTTACGATGCTTGCCTTTAAAACTGGAAAAAACTCTTAAACATAAAATAGCGCTCAATAATTCATCGTTGAACTGTCTTCAATAATTTTTAGTTAGGCAGCAGGACTACTATAAAACCAAATCTGCATCCTGTTCAGCCCCAAGTTTTTTGTGCAAAAAACCGTTGAAACGTACAAAAACTGTAAACCCGAAAAACAGTTCAAAAGACAATCAAACTCATAAATGTTAAACTTGAGATGCTATGCTTATCACAAAACAGTAATTCAGTTGAGAAGATCGACTGAAACTCGCTTAAATGGTAATAAGTTTCGCAAACTGAATAACAACCTTCGCCAATTGAGAGAAAACTAGACCTGCTGAAAAATGTATCATCCAGAATGGCTTGTTCACGAAGTATGTATATGATACAGTATATTTTAATTTCTTTCATCTGTTAGTGACTAAAAATAAGAATGACTAATGCTGTCAATTGTTATTTCCGAACAGCCGAACTTTAATTTGCCTTAAATTTTAAAGAGGGGTTTAAAAGTTCATTCTCAATAAAGATCAAGCTTTAACAGCCGAGATAAGTTCTTCAGCAAGGCCGTAGGACATCGTTACGCAGGCTTGAATGAATAATGAACTTGCAGAAACAAGTTTTTTTTAATCTCAGTCCATATATTTTTGGGGAATTTTCTAAGTAATGTATTCTGCTTGGGTTCAAGACCATTTATTAAGCAGGAAAATATATATTTTTGTTAAAATCTCCAAAATTTCTTCAAATTTTCGAGAAAATATTTAAGTAGTTAAAATGACTAAGTGAAGGGAGAGGGATGCTAACAAAGAAATTATCAAAGACTAGAACTATCAAGCTTGTAAAAAAACAACTTGGTCAGCTTAACCATTTGTTTTCGATAATGCAATACAGACGTAACAAGCTGATTCATAAAATCAACCTTTTCGATTAGCTGTTGTTGCATAAGATACAACTGATCTTCAGGTATCCCGCATTTGTCCAACCTTGAATTCTTCCTTTTCAACTTATTTTCTGCAGCAATCTTACATTCGCTCAATACACTATCCGCAGCTTCAACGTAGTCATAGGGAAACATCAAGTTTACAAGAGCTAGAGCAAACAATTATAAGAAATTGGAAATAAAAGTGAAGCGTTACAGAAAATATAATTAAAGTAACAAACAAGCAGATATACGTTCAAATCAATAACCACAAATACAGCCGGCACGCAAAATCATTTAACCTTGACTTTTGTGGTAGTAAGGTTGAGCCCCTCAGAAATTATTAAAGCGTAAAAAATATAATTATTACAAAAAACTTTTGCAGCCAATTTGAGAATATAAAACTAATAATTCTAAAACGCTAGCAATTGTGAACGCAAAACTAAGACAAATGCAATGTAAACGCCGGAGGCGAAAAAAATAAATTTGAGCCAATAAAGTTAGATTCGAAGACCACAGCGAAGTGCAGTGAAGCGATAAACCATGCATTTCCAATAATCCTCCCATTTTTGACTATCAATCCACATTTTGGAACAAACGTACTTATCTAATCAACTATAATACCAAGTTTATCCCATTATTTCATCTTTCAAGTGTTTCTCTTATTACTATAACTTCATCATTAATCTCTAATGCTCGTGGCAAGTTTTTTCTGCACTAATCGATTCTTCCTGTTATGAAATGCGTATATAAACTATTAACCTTCTAAAAACGACCAAAACAAAACAATGCCTTTTGTCAGGTACTTATAATGTAAAAAACGTTTTTGGACGCTTCATTCCCCTGGAAACTCTTTTGTACGCGTTTTGGAGATTACAAAATAGTAAAACCGCTCCTTCAGATTATCAGCGATCATCCCACTACAAACCCATCCAGTCTCCCGTAGCTATTTCCCACATCTTCCGTTAAAAATACGCTTTCCTATACAGCAACAAAAAGGCCCTAAGCTTTAAATCTAAAGTGATAAGCTCTGAAAGATAAAGTTCGCATAGATCATAGAAACAGAAATCCAGGTATATAGGAACTACCAAGTATTTCAGACCCATTCAGAAATGGAAGAAAAAGTGGTGGAATGAATGACTGGTCGCCGTCAACAACTTTAAGGTGAATTGAAGAATCATATTAGAAACCCAAATCTTGAACAATTTTAGAAGGTGGATGACTAATTTTATAATTTTTAATATAAGAGTTTAAACGTGATGTTACACATAGTTTCGAATCTGAATAGTCTTCTACCTTTTTGAACATGTTCGTGATATATTGTCTTCCGCTGATCGTGTGCCGAGATACGCTGTGCCTCACGTGAAACATGCTTAACGAATTCCACGCAACAAGCGTTCAGTAGCTCGCGCGACTCGTTTGCTATCCGCATATCCGGAATTACATCCTTAATTATCATGTTCAAACCCTTTTGCGGCAAACCAATCTCGCTTTCATCATCAGCCATTGTCTAAAATTTGGGCCTAGCCAAATTAATCTTTAAAAACCATGAGAACCAGCTAGAAATGTCAATTATAATAATCAGGCTCCATAAAAACCAGACAAACATGTAACTTTGAAGTATCATTTTTTCCGTATCCTCCAATTAGTTTCAATAAAAAAACTAAATTCAATCGCATAACAGTGTCTTTCATCCCTCCCTCTTGTCTTACTAATTTTCAAATCTCGCTTAAGTTCTTAAAAATTTGTTATTACTTCTCCGATTTAGCAGTTTATTAACAAGGGACTAAAAATTGAGATTATGAATCGCACAGCTAGAATAGTTTATCTTTGATTAATTATGCTGACGAACAAGTGAAAACTTCCCCCAGAAAATACAAAACCCACTACAATTTATAATAAAAAAAATGTTTTAAAGAAAGTATTTTCTTCAACGATCAATTTCAGACACCGTCGTAAACGATGAATGCAAGCTTGCTTCCCACACCATCTACATCGAAGATTCCTTCTGTTACAACAGTCGACATTTTGCGGAAGTTAGTACGATTGATTCAGACAATAGAACTATATAACCTAAGAAGGTTCTATCAGCCACTGTAATTTTACAAAACTGCATAATTGCTTTTACGCTAGAGGATAAAAAGAAAAAAATAACATTAAACTTCACAGCTCGCAGAAAACTTATAATCAAATTGTTTTTTAAATGCAAAAAGATATGAAAAAAATGTTTTTTCTGATATGCCTCTAAAACAAAAAATTTCTGATAATCAGACTGTAAACAACTCATATTTTTATAATTTTACCAAAATGCCAAAATCGGTTCATCTTAATTAACAGCCGACTACCTGGCAAGTAGAGAAATTGCATCACATTTGACAAGCTTCCCCGATTAAGAAAAAAAAGACGACTAAATCTTTAAACGAAGAGGAATTTGTTAGATACGACAAAGGTTTCAACAATTTACTATCACGCTAAGACCCCAGCAATGGAAATTTCTAAGCAAAAATACAACGTCCATAATACAAACGTTTATACAACGTCCACACTCCCTCTCTGACCTCAATCAGCCAAATGACGGAAAAGTTGGAGAGAAAAGCTAATTACTTTCTTAAAAGTAATTAACATTCCTCACGAAAAAGTAGGGGAGTAAAACGTTAATAAGCTAAAGGTACTACAAATTTAATGAATTAACAAAACTGGAACAAATCAAGGTGGTAAAGAAAAGTTTTCAAAAAACTTCTTTGTGGAGACGACTATCGAGAAAATAATAATCCGTTTCAGAAGAAATCAGTCTGGCCCTACGATCTTGAAATAAAAAACTAAAATCTTCATAATGTCCCCTAAAGAATTTTGACTGAAAATACTGTTGACAACGCGTTCACGTATCGCACTCTCAATTATTTCCATATCATTGCCCGCGAATAAGATCACGCCATTTCTTTTAAATGTAACTAAGTACTCTGCGCTTATTAAAAATTTTCAAAAACTGCCAACAGACCTACTTTTCCTAAGAAATTCGGAAGTGGAACTCACGTCCCTCATACTATCATCTGATATCCACTGGCATTGCGTTGAGTAGCTAGAACAGAAAGCAATGAATCAAGTAATAATGCCTTTTAGAACGGAAAAACAGAAATCTGTGAGGGTGTGCAACGAAAAAGCCATTCGGAAAAGGGCAATATTCATTCAAAGACGTATGAGATAGCTCAGTTCAAGAAATGCTAAAATCTTCCTTGCGTAACATACTGATCTAATCCAACTCACTTTTGACTCTAAACAATTATTACACTCACTGAGCATGCTTAACGCATCAACTACAAATTGTTTCAGAATTCAGATGGATCTGTCGACAAGTGAATCTTCCGCCCAGAATCCAGAGAAGAACGGAAACGTCAATATGTCTCAAATTCTACCAAACACTGTTGATTTCATAACTTACTGTTACATCCTACCGGCGGTCTGCACCTTCGGCATAATAGGCAATATAACTAATCTGATTACACTGGCTAGCCCAAGATTAAAATCAGTTTCTTATATGTATCTCCGAGCCTTAGCTCTTTCAGACTTACTGTGTATGATATTTGTTCTATGTTTTTCAATCGCTCAGTCACAAGAACGAGCTCTAACTAAGTCCTGGTTATTTGCATTCTATGAAGCCCACATAATGTTGCCTCTGATTAACTGGGCTCTAGCTACCAGCGTGCTGATTGTCGTTGAACTTAGCTTGGAACGCTTTACATCTGTCGTTTTCCCAATGCATTTTCGATCTTGGACATCAGCACAAAGGGCCAGACGAGCTATAGCAGTGGCATACATCATTCCAGCTCTTATGTACATTCCGTATGGTATCGGGCGGCACACAATCATCGAAAACGAAACCGATGACGGGTCAACAATTTTCAGTTTCAACGACAGCGAGATATCTACGACTGCTGAATGGAAGGTACGCTTCAAACACTGCATATTTTGCTTATATCACTATCTATTTCTAGTCACCAACATAAAGTCCCGTCTTTGAGGACTAAAAGTGAGGTACGCAAACGCATGCTTACCTCTGAAAACTATGGAAATAAAATGACTAAGATAACTAATAAAAGCTTAAAAGTGCTGTTCAAACCCTACAAGGTCCCTCTAAATTACAATTACCCAAAAACTTTAGTTCTGAATAATTCCAAAGATTATTTTGGAAGCTTACAATTTTACTACTTGTAGAAAACAAACATCTGCACAAGTAACATGTGATTAACTTAAAAACGAATATAGTGAACTTGTATAATGAAACCATAAGCATAAAAAATCTCTTTCAGGCATACAAATGGACGCGTGAAGGACTTTTAAGATTTGCACCAATTATCATCGTTTCCTTACTAAACCTGCAAATCATGACCGCTTTTAGAAGAAGAAAAAAAACTTTTCGTAGATTAACAAAACGGAAAGAAAGTTCATCGACAAAAGAAGATACACTAATTTATATTCTCGGCGGAATCGTTGCTATGTTCTTTATATGTAACATCCCAGCTGCCATGAATTTGCTGTTTATTAACGAGACTGTTAAAAAGCGCAAAGATTACCAAATCTTCCGCGCTTTTGCCAATCTTCTGGAAATCATCAACCACGCTTCCCAGTTTTATGTGTTTTGTGCCTGCTCTACTGATTATCGCACAACTTTTTTGCAGAAGTTTCCCTGCTTCAAATCAACATATAATAATCGCGAAAGATTAAGGTCTTTCATAAAAAGAAAGCCAATCGACGTCGCCACAGCTAGTTTTGCAAACGTTAGCGAAGGTGATGTGCCAATCATAAATAAACCAAGCAGCAGCAAAGAATTCATTAACGACAAGGCAGATAAAGAAGCCACTCGTCAGGGCGTACGCTTAGCAAGTTCTGAAGAAGATATACTCAGCGGCGATGAAACCGAGCTTCAGAATATTTCGGAAGTAGGATCAAGTGAAATAAATGAAATTACATACCTATAAAAAGCAAAGTGGTCTTAAGGTCTTAAGTAACCTGACGTTTCTCATTACATACTACATACGAGCCTTTGAACTCGTTTAAATAATCCCTGTTACAGAAATGCATTGCTAGCTAAGTCATCTAAAAAGACGCCTGATCAAAAAATAGTAGCCTCAATCTAACAGTAAAAATCTTCTAAGACTTTCTTCCCCATCGTCTACAAATTCTCAAGCCATCTTCTGTATAAAATGCTAACTTATGCTAGTATATGCTGATCCAAATGTTTTCCAACAATGAAAGCTCATGAGCTGTGCAATTACCCTCATAAAAATGTATAAAACTGTTCTTACTGCGTTCAAATATCATACACTTGCATAGTAAATGGAGGAACAAACGGCATTAACAAAAGAATGTGCTACTTTCAAACTCTTAGCTACTCCCAGCAACATACAGGTTTCATGGAATAATTCAGCAAAACAATTCATTTGACTAGACCCCGATGGTCGTATGATAAATAAATTGACTGAAGGAGCCGGAATGAAGCCAACAGCAAAATAGCAAGAAAGCGCTCTTATGTTCTTCTAAATACTCAAAAATACAAAGACAAACACAAAAAATTTACAACGATTTGACGTGAAAGCATCACGCAGCACACTAAAACCGCGTTCGTTTCTTGTCAGTAGCATAAACGTTTGTCGCTGCGAGACCATGACTACGGTAACGTGGCCGGCTGGAAATTCATGGAAATGTTGGCCTAAGTTCAAAGTGGAGGTTTTTTACCTGACTTATGGTATGTAGCTCTGCGGTAATTTTGGCGTCATTCTGTCCACTAAATTTCTGGCTCTACACTGTTGAATTTAGTTAAAATTTGGTTTCCTTGTTGGGCTGTTCGCCGAGGTGTGCCTTTGCGGCCAAGTTCTTTGTTTACTGTGTTTGCAGCTTTTTTCGTTAATACAACTACTTCTTTTTGCCCATCTCCCTAGCACCTTTTTTTAGTTTTACGTTGGACATAATGCATGTGTGTGAGTGTGAGGTTTTAAAATTATCTCTCATGTGGCAAGAGTACTTTTTGTAGTGATTTGCTATTTAGGTAGGGATATAGGTTTTATTTACGTCTGATTGGTGTATTTTTTCCGTAAAATGCGCAGCTGAGTTTTCTTCTTTTCAGACAGCACTTGTTTCCTCATACTTATTCAAAGAATAGGTTTATTTCACTCTTTCACCGTTTACAAGTACGCTGTATTTTAAGATATACGTGGCCTAAAACTGCGTCTTTCAGGTTTGTTCATCGTTGGCTTCCGTGCCGAATGACTTTTTTTCGCTGCCATCAAGGAGACCATATTGGACTTTCATAGGGGCTGCAGGTTTTGAAAGGCTGGTGTTGCGTGCGTACATGAAGTCCTCGATCTTGATGCAGTTCTCGAACCAACTTTGTGGAAACTCTTTGAGGACTTCTTTCGTTGTTTGGAAAAGGAAGATCAAGAGCTTGTTCTCCTCCGTTTTGTTAGCACCAAAATATGGTTTACTCGAAGTGTAAGGTGTCGTAGCTTCTCCACCTTGATGTTCTGGTACGTCTTCTGTGCGACCTCGCACTTCAGCCAACTCCTGAAAAGCTTTATAGGCGAGATTTGGCAGTAGAAACGGGGGTAGTCGAAAGATTTCAGTCACTGTTTCCTGCGCAATGTTTTCAACCATGTATGTTTGGAGGTCTTCTTCTCTCTTATCGGTACGCTGTCAAATAGCTTGCAACATCACCTTCTTTGTCCATGACTTTTTTTGAGGAGGACAATAATTGTAACAACGAAGTCTCCATTAGTAAGAGCAAAAGCATTTTTCTATAGTTCTTCTAAATGTAAGCAGACGAAGGACCGCTGGAGCAAAGAACTGAAGGATTTGACACGGTATGCGCTGGTGTTCTTCCCCCTCGTTATTCCTTCTCGCTTTAACCTATGTATTATTCGCTGCTGTTTAAGTGATATTTTTTAAAGTTTTCTTATAAGGTAAGAAGTTGTATTATCCTCTTACCATTTAATGGTCGTCTTTTTGATCAACTTCAGGTTTACCCTAGGTTTTTTTGCTTTTCCTAAACTGCTTGAGACAGTAACCAAAGTACGGTACACGGACATCTCACAAAGTTATTGCAGTAACACTTTAGAAATATGTGAAAAAAATTCAAATTATTTCCCACATTTCTGCTAAAATCTTGGTTGAAAAACGATTTGAAAACGAGAAGTTGTAAAAGTAGTGTTGAAACTGAACAATAGGTGACACATTATGTACGCAAATGATTTGTAAGTTTAGCGTACCTTTGGAGTGAATTCTGGTACTAATTCCAAATGTCGCTGTATAACACAGTGATATTGTGACAAAGCTGCTGGAATTTTTGAAGATATTTTGCTGTCAGGAAATTTCACATCAAATCCACAGAAAATTGGCCTATAGGGGCGTTCATTCCCGATAAGTTGCGAAAATATTTGTCGTTGCAGGACCAGGATTACGATAACGTAGCTGGCTAGCAGCTTCGGCGAATGTTAGCCTAGGTTAAAAATGGGGTGTTTCCAGCTGGCTTGCTGTGGAAGACTTGCGGTGTTTTTGGCCGTCACTGTGTTCGTCAAATTTCTGGCCATGAGATGCTAGCGGAATTTTGTTGAAATTTATTTTCCTCGTTGAGTGGTTCGTTGATATACTGTTTTTCTCACTTTTCCAGCAAAAATAACTTTGTTTTGCCCATCTATCTATTGCATCCTTTTTATTTTTAGGTTTCACCAGTTGTTTACCTAAGGTTCTAAAATTATTTTTTATATGGTACATGTGGTTTTTTTGATAATATACTATTTGGGTTAAAAAGCAGTCCCCATTTAAGTGGGGTTAGTGTATTTTTTCTGTCTAGTGCGCAGCAGAGGTTCATTTTTTTAGGCAATACCTGTTTTTCCAAGACTTTTAAGGATAAATTTATTTCAGTTCTTCTACCGTTTACAAGAGCACTTCGTTTTAAAAATACTGGACTACTTACAGTGAACTAATTTACTAATTTATATATGTATGCGGACCTTTTGAATTATTGGTTTTCCTAAAATTTATAGCTACCTGTTTTTTGCTCTTCTATTTTAATTGTTGGAACCCTGGTTCAGATATATGCTGAAATGTGACTTTTGAGCTGGTTTCCTTAATTACCACTTTTCCTACTTTTTTTTTTAAATTGGTTTTGTTGTCGACGAGGGATTTTTTTGTTTTTTGCATATAGGTGCCACCGGCTGTGCTTTTATTATGAGTAAAATCGTTGTAGTAGAGTACTCCGACTAGTTATTTTTGAAACCTACTATTTGTAGATGCAGGTAGGTTGCTTTGTAGCGCAATTAACTAGTTTTTTTGCTCAATATTCGATTTAGATCAAGTATTTACACTTACTGTTGTTGTGCTTGCCGCAGTTGTGACTACACGCTGCTTGCTAAATTTTTTACATTTTATTACGCTGTACATAAACAGGAGGAAAGAAGAAATTAGCCTCTAAATTGCATTCCAACAAATAATTTAGCAAGGATATTATGTTCCAGTAAAATTCAGCAGCTATGGCAGGCAGAATGGTAGCAAAGCAGTCTGAGAACTCTTAGTATAAGTCAGTTTAAAACGCCTTAGTTTAACTTTAAGCCAGCATTTTTTCCGGTAGTTAGCGAAACGCATTACCATGTCCTCTCTGACATGCACAAAGGATGACTAGAAGTGGA